TTGAATATTACAAACAAATCGTACAAATTCAAAACAGAACGCCATCAAACCCCTAAATCTAAATCAATTTACAATCCAAAAAATAAATTGCACGATCAAACCCCTAATTGATTCAATCACTAAAATGTAACGACAATCAGAAAACTTCCTAATTCATCTTAAAAACCTAAGCTATATAAAGAACCATAAAACTAATTGAGATGGGGGCAAATCGGAAGAGAGGAAATTGGAGAAAGAATCATAACAAGGAAGGAGTAATCCGCGAGCCAACGATCTTGTTTGAGATCGAGGTTTCAATTTGTGAAACCATATATCTGTGCTTCAAGTCGCGCCTTCGTCATCTTCATCGTCGCCATTGTTCTTCACACCTGCAATCAGAGAAGAGGATGAAGATTAGACAGAGGGAGATAAAGTCAGAAGAGGAGTGGATATGACAAGATTCACCGCATCGGACGGTAAACCTAATACTTAACTTAGGGTTTTAAAATTGTTGTTGTGCTTGCGTAATTGGTGTTCGTTGTTGTGCGTTTCTGGATTTTTATGAAGTTTATGGGTTTCTAGGGTTAGGGTTTTAACTCGGGGTTAGGGTTCTTAGATACTAAGGGTCAAGGTTCCTCACGTTTAGGCTTCTGGGTTTTTGGTGGGGTTAGGGTTCATCTAGAACCCTAGGGTTAGGTTAGGGTTCTTTGACCTTCATAGGGTTAGGATGAAGGTTCATACGAATCTGGATTTGGGGATGAATATGGATGGTGATTGTGTATGAATCCGGTCGCCGTATTTTTAGAGAGAAGGCAAAGCCTCTCTCTCTAGAATATAACAAAAAAGGTCGTTTGTTGTAGAGAGAGGGAGAGAAAAGGAAAAATGGACTTTCAGCCCAGAGTTTTGTTTATATAACACCCTCTACTCCAGTGTAACGCTCATAGCATGTGCGCTCCTTCCTGGCCCTTCGATCATCATCAGACGTCTCTCAAACGCGCGCCCACCATAACCCTATGTGTTCGCCCACACTTTGTCTAACGGACCTGATATTTGTTTTGGGCCCAGCCCATTACTAAACGCGCCATCAATTTACTTCACTAACAAAAAACCTTACCCCTTATGCTATTGGGTCTGGTGCAATATCTGAACTTGGGCCCTTGTTGAACTGACCCTCCAATTTTGCTGCGTAGTACAGATCTACCCTCTTGTGATCTAGGCCTAAATCCAATATCTGGATTTAGGCCATGTTATATGCACCCCCATGATTTGTTAAGTCTAAATAAAACACGCATCCCTGCATTTTTAATTTATTTTATTTTTATATTTTCATTTATTTATTTTATTTATTAATATTTTAATTTTAATATTTTTTTTTTTTATAAATTCTAAAAAATTTCATTTTTATGTTTAATTCCAAATCTTTTTTTAAAAAAAATACTAACTCATCTTTTAATTGCATTAAAATATTTTTTCTCATACATTAAAAAACTATTTTTTTTCTTATATTTTTAATATATTTAAGAAATATCTAACCATTCAAATCACTAAAAAAAATTTTACTAACTTAGTAAACTCAAGATTTTATTTTCAAAAAGGATTATGGAAATATTTTTCGTTAACTGCGAACTTCATCTAAACAACTTCGCAATTTATAAACTCAGACTTGGTTCAAGGAGAATTTGAAATATCTTTGTAATTCATAAAAAACATCAATCAACTGTGAACTATGAATTGGGACTCTGATTCCTCATAAGAGGATACGTAGGCATACGACTTAAAATCATGGCGAGTTCTTCTAACAAAAATTAAAACCCTATTTCCTAAATCATAAATCTAAACCCCTGTATCCTTGTGAACAAGGTAGATGAGGGGTTCCTAACACCTTCCCTTCGTCTAAAAACGAGCCAACAACTTAGAATTTCTGACCAAATTAGGGTTATCCTTTATATCCCCTTCCTAAAGATGAAAATTAAGGGTGGCAACTCTCATTTCAAAACCAGTTATAACACTAAGTTACTTCACACAAAAGCAAGGAAACTCGCTAAGCAAGGTCACAAACTTGGTGGGAAACCAGAGGCGGTTCTGAAGACCCATTGGTTAAGTAACATTGGGGTGAACGAAGGATTTTATCGCTTGGAGATCAGGTACTCATCTTACTCATGGAATTATATATGTTATACTTATTTGATTATATTGAATATTATCTTTGTTCTTAATGCTTGTTATGAATTAGCTACCTATAACTTGTTCTAGTAGTGTTGAACTGATATTGAGAAATACTTTTTCTTAACTAGATCAAAGATTTTCATATTTATATGCTAATCTTTGAACACTGATTTAGATTTAATATTCACATATATTGTTGAAACTTGATGTTATCGTATTGGTTAATTGGTTGAGAAATCATTTGTTAAGCAATGCATTTTTTATTTCACATTGTTATTTAGACATAAACAATAGACGCAGAGCAATAGATGGTAACTAAATCTAACTCCAACAATCTTAATTTCATTTGTTAATTCTAATTTTCATTCATTACTATGTTAAGTTAAGTTATAAAAAAATAAATTTTTCAACTACTTTGCTTAGAATTATAAAAATTATTGAACGGCTTTTGAATATTACACAAGTTCATATAGAAACTATACAAATAAATACTTATACATTTGTCGCAAATACTATCATAAGTGATATCAATTTTCGGTTGAAAGTGCTAGACATTGATGAATCAATAAAAAGAACTTAAAGACTTGAAATTATAATCTTGAAGCCTAAAGGCTTGAAGGTGTGAAAGTGTGAAAGTTTGTTTGATCCTACGCTTAGAGTTTTTTCTAATCTTGATCAATTTATTTTAAAAAGAACAAGAGTAAGTATTGAAATGCAAAGGCAATCACACTCTGAAGCAAATTGATTTTAAACATCTTCTATTTTGATAAATCTTCTTAAAACCAATTTAGGCAACTGGTTAATTGATTGGAAGTGTATGTAATTAATTAAGGTTAAAATACACTACCTAATCGATTAAAAGGTCTTTTCAATCAATTAAATCAAAGTGTATGCCCCTAATCAGTTAAGGGGGCTACTAATCAATTAAGTATCATGGAATTTTAAACTTTCCTAATTTAACTTTGATTAATCAATTAATACATGGATCTAATTGATCCTTAAAATTGTCCATTAATTATTTCATTTTTTAATCAATTTTTTCTTATATAAAGGTGGATTCTCCTCGTTTCAAATAATTCAATTTTATGACTAGAAACACTTCTATCATTTCCTTCTCATTTCTTTTATAAACTTGTTTTTCACTAAAGTTGTCTTAGTTTCAAGAGAGTTAAAAGTTTTTTGAGAGTCGTTGTATCGGTGTCGAGCTGAAAATGTTTATTACAGAGTGTTGTTCTCTTGTGATATATTTGTACTGAATTTGAAAGCTATAAGTTAAACATAAAAAGAAAATAAAAATTTGAGTGAAGATTTTTGAATTGAGCCTAGTTGTTGTTGTAAGGTTTTTGGGTTGATTATGTGCAAAAGATAAAGTTGTTTTGGAAAGCTGTTTGAGTAGATCGTGAAAAGTTCAAGGTTGATTTTAGTGAAATTATCATGGAGAAAACTCTTGGAAACTGAAATAGGTCAAGTAGTTAGGTTGAACTAGTATGACTTTCTCATGTGATATTCCCATTCATCATCTCTTTATTTTCTATTATTTATTTAGCTAATTGTCTTCTTCTTTCTTCTATTATTCCGGTGTCTCATCTCTAATATAAATGAATTTAAATTAAAATATTTTTATTCAGGTATGAGTTTTAAAAATTTTAAAATCAATTTCAATTTTGAATTATAAAATTTACAAAAATCAAAATAAGTTTCAAACATAAAAATAAATTGTCATCATAAATATTCTTAATCCAAAAAATTTATACTTTTAAATTTATAAAATAATTAAAATATTATAAATTATAGTACATTTTCTTTTGAGTCGAGTTTTGCTATCCGTTGTGATTTTTTCCATCTCGAGATATTTATCTTTGTAGTTGCTTATAGATGACACCGGTTTATACCATAAAAATGTAAAGAAGATTAATGAGTAGTCATTTTAATAAAAGTGGTTAAAAATCGTGATTTTTGAAAAACGCCTGTTGGAGTGGTGGTCAAAATGGTGGTTGTGGTGGACAACATCAAAAAGAGGTAATCCATGGCGGTGATCGAGGATGGTCAAAGTAGTGTTGGTCAGAATGGTAGTTTTCGATATTTAGAATATTTGTCAAAGTAGTAATCGGTGGTAGTGACTAATGATGGTTAGAGTGGCAGTCGGTGGTTAGAGTGACGTTTATAAATGTAGTTTATGGTTAGATTGGTGAAGAAAAATGAATGGAGTGGTGATCGGCAATGATTTGTGATGGTCGATGGTAATTGACATTGGCTGGAGTGGTATCGGGTGATACCTAAGTGTTATTGATGGTCTTAATAGTAGTTAATAGTAGTCTAGTTGGCAATTGATGGTGATGTTTTAGAGTTAAAAATAAAATATTTAAAAATCAAAAACTTATATTTTTGGTTTTAAATTTTAATTTAAAAAATATTTTAAATTTAACTAAAATTTTGATTTTATATATTGTAATTTTAAAGTTGATTTTCGTGACAAACACAACCAAGAATCTTAGTTTTAGAAATTTTGAGAATAAACAGTGATTCTAGTTAAAATAAATTATTAAAATATAATATAACAAAGAAATATAAATACTTCAATTAAAATTTAAGTAATTGCTTTTTGAATCCTTTTACTCAACCCATGGCTCTTGCAATAACCGAAGTGCGTAGTTACTATGTTCACTCTCTCTTGCATATCCCATCAGTCATCACGCATTATAAATCTTTAACCAACCATCTTTTCTTCTATTGGCAGCAAAAAAAGCCTGCTTCTCTTTTTCCTTAAAATACTATAACTCCTTAAACATCACGAAACTCCTGCAACTTCAACCATTCTCACCAATACATAGTACTCTACAAACACTTCAACAAAAATGTCACCAACATGTAAAAACCTTAGCTCAAACCTTAAAATAAACATGCTATCAGAGGAGCTGAGAGTTCAAGGAAGATTAGCCTTTCCAATGGTGTTGATGAATTTAGCTTGGTTTGCCAAAACAGCTATCACAACAGCATTTTTAGGTCGACTCGGTGAGCTTAGCTTAGCCGGTGGTGCACTCGGGTTCACTTTCGCCAATGTTACTGGCTTCTCGGTCTTGAATGGTTTGTCTGGTGCCATGGAGCCTATTTGTGGACAGGCTCATGGTGCTAAAAACGTGAGACTCCTTCACAAGACTCTTGTCATGACAGTTATATTGTTGCTATTGGTAACAATTCCTGTTACTTTCATGTGGCTTCATATCGACAAAATTTTGATTCATTTTGGACAACAAAAAGAGATATCAACTGTGGCTGGAACTTTTGTTTATTATCTTATACCTGATTTGTTTGTTATGTCATTCTTGTGCCCCTTGAAAGCTTATTTGAGTTCTCAAAGCATCACTCTTCCTACCATGTTTAGTTCTGGTGTAGCACTTGCTTTTCATGTTCCTGTTAACATCTTACTCTCAAAAACCATGGGTCTAAAAGGGGTTTCCATGGCTGTTTGGATAACTGATCTTATTGTTGTGATTCTTCTGGCCATTTATGTTGTAATTCTGGAGAACCGAATGGAGACTGCGTGGAAGGAAGGAGGATGGTGGGATCAGAGTGTCATGGATTGGATTAGGCTTATCAAGCTTTGTGGATCTTGTTGTCTTAACACATGTATGGAGTGGTGGTGCTATGAGATTCTAGTTTTGCTTACTGGCCACCTCGCGAACGCTACGCAGGCGCTGGGAGTTTTAACCATCGTGTTAAACTTCGACTATTTGCTTTTCTCGGTCATGTTGTCGTTGGCCACTTGTGTTTCAACCCGTGTCTCAAACGAGCTTGGCGCGAATGAAGCTGACCGTGCTTACCGGTCTGCACGTGTGTCTCTAGGAATAGGTTTCATCGCGGGATGTACCGGAAGCTTGGTGATGGTGGCAGCAAGGGGAGTTTGGGGGAAAGTTTTCAGCCATGATAGGGGGATTATAAAAGGAGTGAAGAAGACAATGTTGTTGATGGCTCTGGTGGAATTGTTTAATTTTCCTTTGGCAGTTTGTGGAGGCATAGTTCGAGGGACAGCTCGACCTTGGTTGGGTATGTATGCTAGTCTAGGGGGGTTTTATTTCTTAGCTCTGCCCCTTGGTGTTGTTTTTGCCTTCAAACTTCGTCTTGGCCTTGTTGGACTCTTCTTTGGACTACTTACTGGTATTGTAGCTTGCTTGTCGCTTTTGTTAGTTTTTATTGCTAGGATAAAGTGGGTGGAAGAAGCTGCCAAGGCACAGATACTAACAAGTTACGGTGCCAAAGAAGTTCCATGTAATGTGGCGGAAATACAAATTAGGGAACGTGAAAATGACAAAGTGTAAGCAGTTCGTTCAAAATGATCTATGTACACGTTATTCATGTGTGCGATCAAACACTTGGTTAGGACGAATAAGACACGTCTCAACCATGCATAACAATTCAAGATAGAAGATCAGATTTTGCAACGCTTTAATTGCTTGTAAAACTCATTTCTAGAATATATCGCTAAAAGATAACAATGTCATTCTAACCCATATGGGTTCTTTGCTATTTTAGATCACTACCTAATACTTTTTGCCTTGGCCAATTTAGTTATTTCTTGTTTTTTTTTTCATCTTTCTTTTCTTTCTTTTTTTGGGTTTGAGGGACTGAAAGGGAAAAGGTCATTTTACATTTAAAAATATGACTTCTGCAATAGGTGGAACAACCTGTTGATCTATTGTACAACAATTGCAACAACAAAAAATTGCTAAATCATCATTAAGAAACTATTATTCATCATTAGCAACAGCTTTAGAAATAGAGGACTCTAGCTCTTTAGCTTTTTCATCATTAAAGCCAAGGTTGGATAGTATCTTGTGTCCCGGGGAATCCACTTCAGACCAAATGCCAAGAATTATGTGTGCTGTGGTTATTTCCCCGCCATCAACTGCATGTCAAATATGAAATTATAAGATCATTTTTTTATACTGAAACATAGTAAAACATTAGAAAAACTTACATTGAAACGAACTTAAATTCTTATCTTAAAAACAACTAATAAGAGGGGAAATTTAAAATTTAATTTATTTTTTAATTGAAATCATGGAGTGGTCGTCATAATAAAAGAGAGAGAATATTTTATTTTTAATTTTTAATTAATAAAAAAATTGTGATTGATTGTTTATGAATTTAAATGTTATGTTTGTGTCTATCTAAGTTATTTCCGAAAACATGTGATAAGAACTGTCAGTTTTAGAAGAAAAAGAGATGGTGATGCAACACACTACTCCAGTCACCAATTGAGTGTATGACAAGAAAATACTCCCTCTCTAACAAGTTATAAGCAAAAATTGCCTAATTTTTTTTCTATTTTTTGACATTATACCCAACATGCCCTTTATTTAATTCTTTTTCTTACATATTTAATTTAACTTTTATTTTCAATAAACTAATTTATTATTGAAACAAGTTTAGGAATGTAATTACATTTTTAATAGTAGTTTTTTTTTTTTTTTTACATTTTTAATAGTAGCTTTTAATCGTACAACAACTTATATACATTTAATGTTCTGCTCATAAAGGGTGGGAGCACCTAAGGTTTTTTTCTTTTGGAGTGGAGGGTGATAAGCTTAGGAACAAAGTTTATTTTACTAATAGTGTGTTTAGTTTAGCGGCAGGGAAAGCAAACGTGCGGCAAAAATTCACGTTACCGCAGAAACTTAATTTTGTAGCTTCTGAAAATCACACGCTGGGAGAGGATGTAAACGTGTGTTTGGCTGCTCAAACGCCAAACCAAAGACACCATAAAACAACTAATGTTTGATCAAAATTAATGCCAATTTTTTATTTAAATAAACAATATGAGGGCTACTTTTGGCAAACTAAATAACTTTTTGACTGCATTTGACAAAAATAATAATATAAATTATATTTTCAAAACTCTAAACCACATTTTAGTCTATCCATTTTCAGAAAAACTATATTTGGATCCTCCATTTTAAAAACAATAATTTTGGTCCCCAATTTAACTTTTTTTTTTAATTTTCACCTCTATCTTATATTTTGGTGTTTTTGCTAATCTAGTTTATTCATTAATAACATAAATAAACATATGAATATATCGTATATGATTAATATTTCCAAAAACCGAAGTGAGCAAAAAAGCATATGATTACAAACATCAACAAAAAAAATCTCAATGGAATGAGGGTAGAAATTCTATAAAAAAATGTGAAGTTGGGAACCAAAAACAGATTTTTAAAATAGCCGGACCAAAATTTTATTTATTTTTTAAATAGAATATAGAAATTAGCAGTGGCTTTATTGATAAGGAACTACTTATTGAATTATAAACATAATAATATGTCAGGCCCATACAATAATATGTTAGGCCCATTTGTTAGGCGTGGTATAGTCTAAAGAAAATTCTAGAGAAATGTAAAAGTAGATTAGTAGAGTCAAAATAATAAATGTAAGTAATAGAAAGAAGAGTGTAGAATTCTCACTCTCTTGAAGTTTCAAATTTCACTAACGACAATTATGAGAGAGGAGAATCTCAAAGTCAATGCTACAATTGTCAGAAATTTAGCCATTTTGTTTCAGAAATAGCATAAGGATACGGGCGAGAAGAAAATGTGCAAGTCAAGAAAGAATGTCAAGGAAAAAATCAAAAAATACGAGACATGAATAGCCAAAAAAGACTACAGTGAAAACACTAAGATTGACTATAATAAAGCGTGGAGTGTTCCTTTTTGGAAGGAGTCCTCAAGGAATAATACAAGACAAGGAGTTTAAGATAAAAAAGACATTTTACGGACAAATCAAGTTTAAGAGAGGGGTGTTAAATTATAAACATGATTTGATCGCTAATAATGTGTTAGGCCCATTTGTTAGTCTTAGTATAGTCCAAAGAAAATTCTCAAGAAAGTAGATTAGTTGAGTCATAATAATTAATGTAAGTAGTAGAGAGAAGTGTGTAAAATTCTCTCTCTCTCTTGAAGTGTCTAGAATATTCTATGGGTGTAAGTAAAATTTTTCCTTTCCTTATAGCCTATAAATAGGAATTCTCATTCTCTCAAATAATCTCTCCTTCTGATTCCTCACAATTTAAATATAGCTTTTTCCTTCTCAAACACTATTATCCCAACAAATTAATCACTGGACAACTAAGAAGTATAAAGAGCCTTTAACACAACCATTCTATTCTATTAAACAAAAACCGTCTAACTAGTTGCAAGGAACATAACACCAAAATTGTGAAAACGAAAAAAAAAATCTTATTGCTATAGGACCAAAGGGTATGTTTGGCAAACACCATAAGCTAGCTTAAAACTTAAAAGTTCAAATGATTAAGAAAAACTTGTTTGATAACTTCCACTTTCTCATAAGCTTATAGCTTATTTTTATTAGCTTATAGTAGCATTTTTTATAAGGTATTTCAAGTAGCTTATATAGCTTAATAATGATCACTTGTCATTTTTTTAAAATTTAGGGCCCATTTATTTCAGCTTCAAAAAAATGGATTTTTTCTTTGTATTTTTTAAAATAGATTTTATAAAATCGTTTTTCAAAATATTATAAGTTTTTTTATATTCTTTTTTCTAAATTAAGACAGTAATTTTGACATTCTATAACATGTATTATTGATGAGTAAAATATAGTCAAAATCATAATTTTTTCAAAAGTTGTATTTCAAAAATGATTTTTATGAAAATCAATTTGAAATAGCTTCAAAATTAAGTGATTTTTTTGAAATTTTGATATCCAAAAAAAGTTTCAATAAAAAGATGAAATATCTAAAATAACATTTTAAGAATAATTATTCAAACCAAATTTTAATTGAAAGCTTTTATGAAAAGTTTCTTTGTAAATTTCTTTACACTAAATTATGTAACAATATAAAAATGATTTTAAAAAAAAGCCAAAACCACCTACCCTTAACCTTTGTTCTTAATTGAGAAAAATTAAATGTTACTGAAACATATCTTTTATATGTCGTATAGCTACTCCACAACGAATTTGACCAGGCACTACAAATCAGTTATTTGCTATCCACTATTTATTTATAAGCCACCTGTTTGATAACTATTTTTTTATCCATGAGCTTAAAGCATTTTTTTTATTAGCTTAAAGCATTTTTTTTATTAGCTTAAAGCATTTTTTATAAGTTACTTCAAGTAGGCCCCATTTTTTTAATCAGTTTTACCGTTATTATCATAACTAAAAAAGTGTTAATTAAAAGTACCCTTCTACTTATCTCATATTTATTAAATAATTTAGCATTTAATTTTAACACTACTAATTTAATTTGTAAACAGATAACTAATTTACTATCCGTTGTAAGCTTAATCGCTATCAGCTATCCATTATTCTTTACCAAACAGAGACTAATTCATTACAATCTCAACTAGAATTAAATTTATAAACTAATTAAAACACCATCAACCTGAATGCAAGAACATTTGTTTATATTTTTGCAACATGAAAAGCTTCAGGACCAAAACACAAGACATCATTAGCTCACATGATTAACACAGATACTCATTAGCCACAAATTGTATAATCTATCTAAATTAGGTAATTAGAATCCTAATTAATAAAAGCTGTTGACCCAGGGATTTGTATAAAAATGTAACTCCCATTCTCAACTTCAACCATATTTTATTTGGCAGTATCACATCCGAAAACATAAAATCCCATTCAATTATGTTACTCACCTATGAATTTTCATGTCAAATTTGTTAGTAGTGGTTAAAAAACAATGTCTTCTTGGTATAAGCTAGAAAATTAAAGTTCCAATGCCAAGGTCCTATAATTTTTGGGTTCAATTTATTCTAACACCATATCTTCGTTCCATAAAAGATAAGGGGGAAAATCTGTCAAATATTGAGTTTACATGCAATTAAAGAAATTCATATCTTCGTTCCATAAAAGATAAGGGGGAAAATCTGTCAAATATTGAGTTTACATGCAATTAAAGAAATTGGACAGAGTAAGACAGTCATAGCAAACTATCAACGAGAATTCAAGGCATAAATCCACAATGTTATATAGGTTTTGTAAGTAAGCGGCATTTCACTTTTCCACAATTAATGACAAAAAATAGGAAATGAGAAAAATGGCAAGAACAAACCTGATTTTAATTTTTTATCAACAGCCCAATCAAGGGCCTTCTGAGCATCTTCAGTCATTGGAGGACGCTCAGGGCATACTGTAAACATATCAGCTTCTCCAAGCACATTAACAATTTCATCTCGCACCTTGAAAAGTGTAACTCCATTCGCTCGCAAAAACTTGTTAGCCAGATTAGTACCTAGAACCCCCAAAGATAGATCATGCTCAATGTACAAACTTAAATATC